TTATAGCAGGAGAGGTTTAAAGATAAGGTAGTTTATAATAGGTTTATAGAAAGAGTTTAGTAATAAAGGTATCTAGATACCTGGTTTAGATGCCTGGTTTAGATACCAGATATCTAGTTCAGATACCTGGTTAAGATACTAGATACCTGATTTAGATACCTGATTAAGATATTAGATATTTAGTTATTAAGATACTAGATATCTAGTAATTAAGATACCAGATATCTGGTTTAGATATCAGATGTCTAATAGGGTATTAAAGTAAATATTTTACTCTTAAATATTTTATTTATAATAAGAAATTTAGAAAGTGAAATATTATAATTCCGGAAGAATCTAAAGCTCAAAGAACTTAATTTAATAATAAAATCGAAGTAGTAATTAAAGAGCTTTAAGGGCATATATAGGGCATATATTTTAGAGAGAGAATTCTATAGATATAAGTATTATATAAGTAGAAAAGATAGTTTCTAAAAAGGTAGTTTTAGGACTAAAAGAAGTTAGTTTTAAAGAATAATAGAAGTTAAATAAATAGATAATTAAATAACTAATTACTTATTAATTAATAAGAGCTAGATATCTTTTTTATAGGCTACTAAATACTTTTATAAAATTAATAAGTAATTTTTTCCTTTAATATAAAATAGACTAGATTTGTTTTAGGCTATTAAATACTTTTAGAACTAATCTAAAATCTTCTCTAATTTATATATATATAATAGGTCTTATTCTAATCTAAATATAAACTAATTAGTATTAGTTTACTAGTAATATATAATAATATTATATAAATATAAAAATACTAGTTATATTAGTTAGTAAAGTTATTATTATTTAGAAATAAGAATTATAATATTATAATATTAATATATAATTTCTAAATCTACTAAGCCTAAAGAAATCTAGTTTACTAGTTGAATTACTAATAGAATATAAAGTTATATAACTATATCTTATATTTCATTACTTATATCCTATATTCCGTATTTCGTAACTATATATATAACTCCTAAAGAAATAGCTATATTAATAAAAATATATAATATTAATTTAATATCTTTAATTATATAATAAATATTATAATTTTTTAGCTATTTATATAGGCTTTAAAATAAAATTAATAATAATAGTTTTTAAAAGTTTTTAAATATTAATATATTTCTAATTTCTAATTATATTATTATATATAATTTTTTAATATAAAATAATTTAATATAAAATAATTTATTTTTTATTAGTTTTAAATTTTAAAGTTAATATTAATAGTTTTTATATTTAAATATTACTAATTTCTAATATTATTAATAATAATATTACTTTTATTTTTTATATAAATACTTATAATTCGAGGTTTAAAACTATAGTTTACTAGAAAATAATTAATTAAAATATATTAGAAAATAATAAATAATATAATACTACTTTTATAATATATAATAATATATATTTAATTCTTTTTTATTTGCTTTTTATTTAAAAGTATTATAAATTATATATAAGTTTATTAATTTTATAATAAAAATATTATAAATAATATATTAAAGTAAATATATTATATAATAAAATAATATATATATAAATAAAACTTTATTTTATTTAACTAATTTTTTAAATAAAACTTAATAAAAAAAAATTATATTATATAATAACCGAGATTTAAAATTAATATATATATCTAATTAATATATATTTAATTTTCTAGCTTATTACGGAATTAATTAATTAATTATTAAATAATTATATAATTAATTAGTCTGAAATTAAAAATATAAAGTAATTAAATTAGATATATTAAATTAGCTAATTAGAATTTTTTATTTTTTAAGATATTATAGTAAAATAATCTCTTTTCCTAATCGGGAGATCTATATTATTTCTATAGCTTTAGAATTATTTTCTTTTATTATTACTACTTCTTGAGTTCCTAAATTTAATAAAATCGAAAACTTTATTTTTAATATTATTATATAAGACGATTTAGCCTTTTTAGTAATATTTCTAATTATAGTAGCTATTTTTCTAACTATTACTTATTCTAAAACCTCTAATTTATACTTTTTCTTTTTTATTTAATTAATAATTTCTTTTTCCTCTATTTTTTTTTTTTAGCTTTTCTAACTCTTTATCTTACTTTTTTAAAGTATTTTCTATAGCTTTAGTAATTTTTATATTTTTTTTTATCTTTTATTTATCTAATTTATCTTATTTAGTTTTTATAATTTTCCTATTCTTATATATAATTATAGCTAGTATTTTAGTTATTCTAAAAAACTAGGTCTTCCTATAGGCTCTTTTATTAAATTAAGCTTTTTCCTATAATAAATTTTTTTTAATTTATAAAGCTTTCTTTAAATCCTCTATATAGTATTCTATAATAAAAGCCTTTACTATATTTATTTTATTTACTTTAGTAAGCTTACGAAATATATTCTTTATTAAATTTTTAGTATATATTTTTATAAATTACTATATATGTTTTATAATATAAAAAATTTAAATTATATTAAAAGATATTTTTAAAGAAGTTTCTAGCTTTAGTAAAGTAATTAAATTAAAAATAACTTATAATTTATAAAGTTATATTTTAGTTTTATTTTATATTAATAAAATATTTAATTCTAATATATTTCTATTTTATATAGATTTAAAAGTATTCTAAAATATTCTTTTTATTATAATAATAATATTTCTATTCTTTTCTATAATTTTATTAATCTCAATAATATAATATATAGTTAATAAAAGAAAATAACTAATATTAAAAGGCTAAAAATAAAATTAGAAATAAAATCTTAAGCTAATTATATATTCTAATAAACTTTATATTAATATAGCTAGAATATTTATTTATAATTAAAAGCCTTTTTTTATATTCTGCTTTTATATAGGTAATAGAATTAAAACCCTAAATAAGATAGGTTAATCTAAAGATATTAGAAAACTATTTATTTACTAATAATATAAAAAAAAAATTTATTTCTTCTTTTAATTTTCTAGCTAGAAATCTTAAAAATCTCTAAAGATTTCTTTATAAATTAAAGCAAGTGAGATCTTTATATTATTTATATAAATAATAATAAATAAGCTAATAAACTCTTATAAGCTATTCTATTTTATTTCCTTAATTTTTCTATTATTATATAGCTTTTTTATTATTATATATTTTAAAATACAAATAATTCTAATTAAAAAATTCTTTTTATTCTAATTATATATATTTTCTACTATAATATTATAATCCTCGATTGCTTTAATTAACTAAATAGAGAAATATAAGTATTAGCTATTTTATTTAGAAAATTTATAAGAAATAAAAATAATACTAAAATAAATAATATTAAATTAAAAAAGAATTAAATATAAGACCTATATTCCGATTTTATTTATAGATTATTAATATTATATAAATAAAGACTTTTAAGCCAGAATAAATATTACTAAATAAAACTAGCTATTTAATTCTTATTTATATTATATTTAATTATTTTCTTTATAAGGTTTTTAATAATATAAATAGTAAAAGAAAGGCCTCGGATTATAAGCTTATTAATTTAATTAATTAAAGCCTCTTTTTATATATTAATAAAAAGTTTATAATATATAGAAATGCCTTTATACTTTTATATAAATATTATTTATTTAATTCTAAATTTTTTACTAATTTTAATATAATTAGGAATTAATTACTTATTTAATATATTAAATACTTTTTCTATATCTTATTTATTAATTATTTTATTAATTTTTGAAATTAGTAATATAATTTAGAAGAAATATATATTAGCTTAATATATATATTAACCTTAAATCTCGGTTATTTAATTATATAACTTAAAAATAATAAAATATAATTTTATAATTTTATATTATATATATAACCCGATTAGTAAACTAGTTTTTATTAGGCTTAATAAATTTAAAAGAAATATATTAATATTATAATATTAAATTTTTAAGTTTTTTTAAAGTTTTAAAAATAAAAATATTAACTTTTTTAAAAAATTTATTAAAATATTACTAATTATTATATAATAAAAACTTATAATTAAATTTTTTATAATATTTAAAAAATATTATTAATATTATTATTATTTATATAATAAATTAAAATTAAAGAAAACTTTTTTTTTTGTTTTTAGTATTCTTTACTTTAAGTTAGTCTGCCCCTTAATTAATACCCCCAGTCGACACCGGGGGCAGGGGAGGGGTCGTCTTACATATAGTCTTGCCGAAAGCACTAGTATGCCTGCTTCCATTTCCATCAACATGCCCCACTCTAGCGGCGGTAGTGCAGATGCAGGCGCTCATGCACCATCGTCGCCGGCTATTACTGGCATTAGCATCACCTGAGGCTCGCAACTGTACGTGTGGTGAAACTACACGTGGCCCAGCTCAACTCGACTCAACTCGTGAAAGATTTGGGACATAGACAGAAGGCAGCAAGTAGCAGAAAGGTGGTAGAGAAAGAGAAGGTAGCAGATAGGAAGATGGTAGCACGGTTAGGGGAGGAAAAGAACAAGAAAGTAAAAAAGGGGGGGGCCTGATGAGCTTGAGGTTGTTGTTGAGATGAGCCAAGCCGGAGCGCTCTGCGCGATAAGATTGTCAAGGTACCAACCAAACCAAACCAAGAGAGGCGAACTCGAGTACCCTCTGCCGTCGCCGGCAGTTCTGCAGCTAGACGTCCCGAAGCTTCATGTGAAATGAATACAGTGAGAAAAGGCATCCAGATTCCTCCAAATCTAACCTCGGAAACGGCTGGTGTACCCCAGACTCTCTCGATGAGGCAGGCTAGTGCTGATCCTTGACTGAACCTCGGCCTGTGTCACATGCAGCGGAATCCTCAAAAAGTACAGTCGCAAAAAGAGCTGACACTCGAAGTTCTTGGCCATGACAAGAAACACTTCTTTACACTACCCCTTCGCTCCCAATTAACATATACCACTCCGCAACTTCTCCTTCTCCTTCTCTCCCCCTTCTCAATTTCGTCTTTCCCTGCCTGCGACTCCACCGTAACGGCAATTTCAACTGGAGGAACCCTTACGAACCCCCAAGCAACTTCACGGCCTCCCACTCGCCATGTCTCTCAAGAACGGTGCTGGACGCCGCGCACCGTTTTCTGGAAATAAGGCTAATCCGTCTACTAGATGCTTTCCCCTCTTCGGAGGCCTTTGAAGCCATCAACGCTGCTCTCCAATCGTCCGACACTGAGCGGAAAGATGCAATTAAGCAAGGAAATGCCGTATTCGCTTTCACGTTAAAGAACAAGGCCGGCGAGACGGAGAGCTGGCATATCGATCTGAAGAACAAGGGAGAGGTAGGGAAGGGGCTTGGAGACAAGCCAACAGGTAAGAAAGCCTTCTTGTTGACCGAATTGATCATTTCGGCTGGACAATGAATGACGTTTATCATGTCGGAGGTTGCTGTGCTGTGCAGACGGGGGCTGACCTCTTCCCAAACAGTGACCCTATCACTCTCTGACGATGACTTTGGCAAATTGGTTAATGGCAAGGCAAACGCCCAACGACTATTCATGGGAGGCAAATTGAAGGTCAAGGGAGATGTCATGAAGGCCACCAAGATGGAGCCGATTTTGAAGAAGGCTCAGGCAGTGAAGGCAAAACTGTAGATGCACTTGGCACTTGTAAAATACTATTTTTGACACTCAAAGCCTCTTATTGGTATCCTTGTGCTTGGACGTCCGGCCGTCCTCGAGTCACTCTCCCCCTTTTATCACCTGCCCAATTGGTTCCATCCCAGAACGCCGCCGCCATCTGGATACTTCATCCCTAGGAAGTCAAGAATTAAGTCTTTGGTGCAAGCACTTGCGGCGCGGGTTCCCTGTCAAGAGACCCAAGAATGGGGGGATGACTAGTTCTATTTACTTTACTGGTGAAGAGCGCACAATACTTAGTGCCCGCGATCCCACCTTCCCGTCAGCCTGCACCCCTCCCTACCTTTACCTCTTTCTGTACAACAGCAATGTCGAGGGTCAAAGATCTTCCTTGGCCGTCACTGATGCCAGATGATGAATGGGCGGAAGTCCTGGAAGGGATTCCTGCCAAGGATGAGCCTTTCATCAACAAGTATCTTGATGGCCGCGAGGCGCTGATCGCTCAGGAAAAGAAGCAGAGGAGCGGTAAGCAGGATTTCTTCTCGACGGCCTCCCCAATTGACAAGAAGCTCAGACCATACATTCCGCCAATCTCTCTCGCCTCTTGCTAAGGAAGCTTGCTCGATCGTCGACCGTATTCGAGATGAGGAACGTCGTACAGTATGGACCTCCGAGTTCGAAGATATCCTGGCTCAGAAGACAGGAGCGAATGTTTATCCCGGCATGATGTTTAGTCTGGCAAAGAAACGCATGGAAGCGACAAAACTATGGCAAATTGTGAGGAAGATGCCCAAAGGGGCTTTACTACACGCCCATATGGATGCTATGGTAGATTTCGATTACTTGTTTGCTGTGCTGCTTGAGACGGAGGGAATGCATATTCATTGCATGTACCCTCTCCACACCCCGGCTGCTCTTGACGGAGCTCCAATAAAATTCAAGTTTCTGACTGCAGAAAGGGGTATTGTTCTGGATCCGTGATTTGTTCATGTGTGCTGACATTTGACAGGAAGTGGAAGGTCCATCTGGAGTCCAGAGTATGTTCCAGACACACCAGTCCTTCTCACCAAAGCCGCAGATTCGTTTCCAGATGGCGGTAGAGCAGGCTTCCTATCCTGGCTCAAGGGTCGTTGTACTATCACCAGCATCGAATCTATTGAACACCATCACGGAGTAGATGCTGTCTGGAGAAAGTTCTCCTCTGTTTTCACGATCCTCAACACAATCATCTTCTATGAGCCAATTTTCAGACGCTTCATGAGGCGGATGATGCAGCAGTTGCATGCTGATGGGGTCAAGTGGGTTGACTTACGATTAGCCTTTACCTTCTTCTATTACGCTGAGGGCAAGGAACAGCCCGAGGCTAGTTATGAGAGAATGTTCAAGGTCTTTGGAGAAGAGATCGAGAAGTTCAAGGCTCACGAGGAAGGCAAGGATTTCTGGGGTGCCAGAATGATTTGGACAGGAATCCGAGCACTTGATACCAGAAAAATTGTCGAGGACATGGATGCATGCATCTCAATCAAGCTGGCTTTCCCCGACCTCATCTCGGGCTACGACCTTGTGGGCCAAGAAGACGGCGGTCGACCCCTCAAGGACCTCCTACCCGAACTATTCTGGTTCAAAAAACAGTGCGCCGAGGAAGGGATAGACATCCCCTTTTTCTTCCACGCCGGCGAGTGCCTCGGTGATGGCAATGCTACAGATCAAAACCTGTTCGACGCCGTCCTGCTGGGAACTCGAAGAATCGGCCACGGGTTCTCTCTCTACAAACACCCGCTCCTGATCGACATGGTTAAAGATAAGAAAATCCTCGTTGAGAGCTGCCCGATCTCCAACGAGGTTCTCCGTCTCTGCGCCTCTGTTATGTCGCACCCGTTGCCAGCACTCCTCGCCCGCGGCGTCTCTTGTTCTCTATGCAACGATGATCCAGCGATTCTTGGCCAAGACACTGCTGGCATGACGCATGATTTCTGGCAGGCATTGCAAGGATGGGATAGCCTAGGCCTCGCTGGCCTTGGATCTCTTGCTGAGAACAGCGTCCGCTGGGCTGCATTTGAGGATCAAAGCTCTTCAGTGTGGGTCCACGACATCAAAGAAGCAACTCTGGGGAGTGGCGTGAGAGCCAAGAGGATGAAGGAGTGGAGTGTGGGGTGGGAGCAGTTTTGCCTCTGGATTGTCACTGAATTTGGGGATGATGGTGAAAGCATCAAGAAACTTAGAAGGGAGACGAGCCTGGACGCCCAGGATTAGATACAGTGTGTTGTTTTCTGCGTTTGTGATTTTGGGATGGTTGTTTAGAGTTCGTCCAGCCCTAAACGGCAGGCGTCATGGAAGGAACATCGAGGCTCGAGTCAAAATTCAACATTGGCATGCAAAGCGTTAGGTTTATGGGATCGGAAATAAAATCCCTGCACCGAACACTAGCATAATGCTTCATTTACTAACTTGAGACCAGGGAGATCGCTCATGCCACGAGGGAGGCTGGATGATATTTCGACCATTTGCTTTATTTACTTAGTACCACCACCACCACAAAATCAAGGTTCTGTCTGAGTATCAACGAACCCATCTATGACATCTAAAACGAGCAATCATCGCTATGCAACGCCAGGCCAATGCCATGCAATCCCTTGATGCAGTTTTAGACACGAGGAAAAAAAGGTCCAAGCCCCCCCATATTCATGCCCATTTTTCTACATAGCTCTCTCCACTCTTCCATAAACCCTATCTATCGAAGTTCGAAACCACCAATGCCATCTCAATAAATCGACCAAGAAGCGCGCCAAAGTAACGCCAGATAGCCAGAGTCTGGCCATCTTATGTGGGCTTGTTGGCCTCGAGAATCTCAGCCAGAGCCTTGGCAAATGCTGGCGTCTTGACTTGCAGAATCCACGTCTCCAATCCGGCTCCATTATCCAAAGGCGTCAAAAATTTCACCGTCTTCTCTTTCGCCTCATACTTGACCCCGGAAAGGAGGCCTTTGTTGAGAATGATCAAGCCCGTTGGATCCATACGAAGTAGAATTCTCGACACACCGGTCTCTTTGTGCTTGAGAACTCTCAACGGCCCCACACCCTTGCTCTCCCATGCATTGTTATCACCACCTTTCTTGGGAGAATATTTCAGTGCCTTCGCGCGAACTTCGTGGACAACCTCCTCATGTTCTTCACCAGGACCTCTGGTGCTCAAATTGAATGGTACATACTTTTCTTTCTCTGCTTCACCGTCACCATCGCCCGAATTATCTCCGTCCGTGGTCCCGCCTGGAGTTGTCGCACGAGAAGTAGTTGCTGATGCAGCTGCGGATGGGAAGAGCGATGAGGTTGTGCTAGGGGCACCAAAAGCAAAGCCAACAGTGCCTGGAGTTGAGCCTGCGGGATTGCTGGTTGTACCAAATAAGGTGGAGAGCGGAGCAGCTGGCTTGCTCTCCCCGCTAGCAGTCCCAAATAGATTTGAGAGTGGTTTTGATGTCGAACCAGGAGTCTTATTGAGACTACTAAAGATACTCGAAGGACTTCCAGTCTTAGTCGGGGTTGCGGCCGTAACACTAACTGTTGGAGTGGGATCCTGGCCATCCTTGCTCGGTGTAGAACTGCCAAATCTGATCGGGCTGTCGGGCTTCCAAGTGTTGTCACTTGGAGCGGCAGTACTCTTGTTGAATACGCTTTTCATATCACTAAATGGACTGGCAGTATTTGGTTGTGTATTCTCTTTCTCTTTCTCTTCGTCGTCGAAGGTACGGCGGACCACGTTCCCATTGCTGTCTTTAGTGATTCTGTCGAAAAGTCCCCCAGTAAAGCCCCCCATTGGTGTACTAGTCCCGGAAGGTGATGGATTAATGACTTTAGTGATTCTGTCAAAGAGTCCCCCTGTAAACTGGCCTGTTGGTGTACTGGTTCCCGAAAGCGAGGCACTCCCGAACTTGGAAGCAAAGGGGTTGGTCTTCTTTGCAGAAGCCAGGCCGGGACCCGTTTCTTCAGCAGGCGTGCCTAGTCCACTTGCACTCTCTCCATCCGGCTGATACGTGGGGTCTTTCTTCTCCGAGTCCACTTCGGGCTCACTTGCTTCATCCCCACTCTCATCGTCCGCATCACCACCCTTACCACTATCGGCATCAGAAAGGTGACCGAAGATGTTGTTGCCAATCTTGACAGGCTTTCCTGGTATATGACCGTCGAGGACAGACCCAGTGGAGCTGCCAAAACCCGGAGTTGGTGTTCTCGAGCTATTCACGGAGCTGGACATGCTGTTAGACGCCTGGGAGGATGGGTTCTGACCAAATAGCGAGTTCGGGAACGTTGATGGTTGGGTTCCAGCTATGCTTGCCTGGTTGCTACCTTCCTTGATAGTCGATGAGATCGTAGCCGATGGTACAAACGTGAAACCCTTAGAAGTTTTCGCAATTTCTTCCATTTCCTTCATCTTTTCAAGTTCCCTTGCTCTCCAGTTTGCCTTAAATTCTTCGAGGTCATCGTCCGAGTCGTACTCCTCGTCTATGGCCTTCTGCAATTCTTTTTCTTTGGCCTCCTTCGCCTTCTGACGAAATTGCTCTGGAAAATTTGTTGCAACATTGCCGAATTTCGGAACCTTCAAGACGTTTGAATTCTGGTCCATGTTAACAAGGCCAGCCGCGGCATTAGAAGGTGCTGAAAGCTTTGGAGTGAACACATTCGGAGTTCCTGATGTTGCGCCCGGGGCGAAAAGGTTCTGGGAAGAGACTGAAGAGGGTGCCGATGTGGCTTTTGTACCAAACACACTCGAAGATGGACCATTCGTAAACTTGACAGAAGAAGAAACGCCTGGGAGGCTTGCGAAAGCATTAGTCCGAGGGGCATCATCCTTTGGCGTTTCCGGAATTGCTGCCATCTTTCTCTCCGGGCTGCTGTTCCCTAAAGACTTTGACGGGCTGTCAAGAATGTTTCTGAAAATGTTTGAAGTGGAAGAACCTGACGAGCTGGATTCCATGGTTCCGTTCGCTTTTGGTGTCTTCAATTGTCGCAGAGGGTTGCGTGCCACAGAGTCTTTTGTAATCTGGTTGTCGGCCTGTCGCTTGAGTGGGGTTTCCGAGGAAGAAGGGAGTCCTGACGAGGGAGCTTTCCACGATTGAAGATTGTTCCCGTTGACAGAAGCGGAAGCTTGTCCATTGGAATTGATCTCACTATTGGCAAGACCTCGAGCGGAACTTGATGGATCGATCTGTCTCGTTCGCTTCGTCGGATTTTCATTTTCCCGGTCCTCGTCATCAAGTTTCCTCTTTGACTGTTGTTCATGCGGCTTGGTAGAAGCGAATTCGATGCTCTGCTTTGACCGTTTGTAGGCGTGGTCAGCTCCATCAGTCACCTCGCCCATCTTCCGCTTCAACTCGAGGGTATCCCCCATTATCAACCCACGTTGCTGTATACAAAACTCTAGAACAGGTGTGGCATCCTCATCAGGATTAACTGAAGCGAAAAAGTCTGACATCGCCTGATGGAGGATACGCATTCGAATTCCTTGGTAGAAAGCCATCTTCTGAAACCCGGTGTAATTTGGGGGTAGTAGATGCGCCATATCTTCTTCCGTCATCTCACTCACTTCCTTCATTTGTTGCCGAGCTGAAGTGTTTTTTCTTTGCAAAGCCTCACTCTGGACAGATTCACTAGTGGAGGTAGCTGGGGCGTCCGGAACCAAAGACGAACCACTTAATCTCTGTGGGCTCTTCGAATGCTCCAGGCTTGGGAACATACCGTTAGGAGGAGGTTGGCTTGCACTAGCCGGAGCGTCAAGGGGCTTCATGGGCGAAAATATGTTACCACTGGCTTGAGGCGGCTGTGCCGACCCAGAGGAAGGCTTGGCGCCGTTCGTGGCAGGTGATGGAGTGAACTTCAAGGAATTAAAATGGTTTTTGTAGGCATCGGCGACATCAACTGGAGAACTTACTGTTAATTTGGAAGCTCCGAAAATGTTGGCAGCTGAGGCAGGTTTGCTGAAAAGGGAGGAGCTAGCAGTGGGGCCAGTCTCCGGAACACTTCCATTCACCTTTGGCTGCGCAACTGACTGATCGATTGGCTTGTTGAGATTTCCGAATAAATCATTGTTCAGCTTGGTCTCTTGGTTCCCAAACATGCTGCCAGCCGATGCTTGCTGATTTTGATTACTGGAATCAGCGGTCGATGCTGTTGGTTTATTGAGGTTTCCAAACATATTACTTGTAGGAGAAACTTTGGACTGCTGCTGCCCAAAGAGGGTGGATTTACTTGGTGTTGTAGGTGCTTGAGCGGCATCTCCGAAGGCATTGTTCGCTGTGGATGCCTGAGCAGGATCCGAGAGGCCGAAGAGGATACCTGTCGCGGGTGCTGCAGTCTTTTGCTCCTGCTTTCCAAACACATTGCTGACCGGTGAGGCTGGGACATTCAGATGAGCAAATGGGTTGGACAATAAGGCCGTTTGTTGATTTGACAACCCGAATGAATCTGTAGGCTGTGCGGACTGCTGAGGTTTAATAGATCCGAAGAGATTGCTGGTGGGCGGGGCAGGCACCGGAATAGAATTAAAAATGATGCCAGAACTTGACGGAGGGGCGGAGGCCTGACCGAAAGTGAACGGCGAGCTGGTAGGCTTGTCTTGTGGAGGCGCTGGCTTTGGAGTACCGAAGGGAGTGCTTGCTGTGGGAGCAGCCGATGTAGGAGAAGGGAAGAGGCTATTTGATTGGGGGGCAGGTGCTGTGGAGGTAGTAGAGCCGAAGAAATTGCTCATTTGAGGAGCAGCTGTCGTAATTGGAGCAGACCCGAAGAAGTTGCTAGTTGGGGGAGTAGGCGCTGGAGTAGAACCGAAGGTGGTGCTAGAGCTCGATGGTTGCCCGGAGGTTTGACCGAACAAGAATGGAGAATTTGCAGGCTTATCATTTTGTACTGCCGGTGCTAAGCCGAATGACCCTGCGGGTTGAGATGACTGCTGATTGAAATTGAAGGGACCTGATCCGAAGCTGGAGCTAGGAGTGGTTGGCGCAGGTTGTGAGGCTGGCTGGAAGGAAAATGGGTTGTTTGCAGGCGTGGCAGGGGCGGTAGAACCGGAGTTGAAGTTGATCCCAGAAGGTCCCGACGGTTGAGAGGCTCCGAAAGGAAACATGCTTCCTCCTGATGGCTGTTGCGTCGCACCAAATTGGTTGCTTGGCTGGCTTTGCTCAAAAGGATTGGAGGTCTGGAAGGGAGAATTGCTCTGTTGAATCGTTGAAGGGCCTCCAAACTGTCTCTTTGTAGCCCTATCGTCGCCCGCGAAACGCCCATTGCTTTCCGACTCATCTTGCGATGGCTCCTTCGTGGTGTTCGATCTGGGACCGAAGGAAGGTGGAGGAAGACTGAGACCTTGCGCAGAAGCAGAGAAGTTGAATTCGCCCGGAGCTTGGATGCTGCCTCCGAAGAGACCACCGCCGCCGTTCTGCGAAGGAGATTGCATTGACGTAAATTGCTGTTGCGCTGTGGAGTTGGGTGGTTGGGATCCGGTTCGTCGAGATCGTGGTCTTGCTTTGATATTTCTAGCTGCGAGCTGAGCAGCATTGGCGCGTTGAGCTTGCTCCATTGTTGCAGTTCAAATCGGAGCGCGCACTATTGTGGTTGGGTATTGAGCCCTCAACAATAGCAAGGAAGGAAAAATAGGAGATCGGGAGACTGTCGGCGGATCGAGTTTTGTATCAGGTTGACCGTGGGTGAATCAAGGTGAACTCGAAGGTGAACCAGACTCGATGATGACGATCACCAAGGCCCCTTCTCCAGCGCAACGGAGCGCGAAGCTAACCCAAGACGAAGAAATCCAATCAAGGGAAGACGTGTCAATCATGTGAGGCGCATCGTGAGCTGTTCACGAGATGAACTTCGTTCTGGTCGAGGTTAAGGACGCGATGGAGAAGGCGAAGATTATCTGGGCCAGGCTGGAGACATACATCACGTGATCTAAATATTTACTTACCTAAGGCATCTACCCCAAGTCGCCCAAAAATTTCCATAGAGTAAATGTCTCGACGGGATTAAATTGATGGAGGGCCCAAGTATGGAAAAGGCTCATGGGGCGCTTCAACGGGCGCGTCTTCCATTTGGAATTCTACACAGAGGCAAAGTCTGTGTTTACAACCCCTGAATCCATCGTTACAGAGGATGCAGGTTTCCAAGATCCAATATCTGAACAGGACACACGGATTTGCTGGCACGGGAGCTGGAGATATCTTCAATTGACGTTCCGGTTATTCCGTGTACCTCACACTCACGCAGAACACCCGCTCTTACAGCATGCTCCGGGGCATGTTCTTCAGCACCTGCCTCACACCCAGATCGCCGAGAACCTCTGCAGAATTATCAGCCTTGCTCCGTCACAGGGGAAAGTAGTATATACCTTCAGCACCGCCCAGGATCGCGTCGAGTTTGTAAGTACGGTGGAACATTTCAATGGTCTTCCCCATACCAGTCTGCGTGAGCCCTCTTCCCCCAAATATTTTACGGCGTCGTCTGTTATCGCATGAGCCGAGCGTGTTGCAAACATCTTCAGAAGACCTATGGGCCCAGCTAAATGGGCAGACTGTTGCTTGTAAGGCATCAGGGTCATTTGATAGGTAATGCTCTCGAGCCATGCCTGGTTAGCCTCGCAGTGTGCTATCATCTTTGCAAGCCTGGGAATATTAGCTGGCATAAAGGAAATGGAAACAGCTAGTACTTCTGGCGGACGGCGGGTTGCTCGATCAACCTCTTTCCGAATACCAACCGTTGATTGCTACATTTTATGCATTCTTCTGTTACCAGTCGTCTCACTCGAATGACAGCGCAAGCCATCATCCACCCCTCGTGGTTGAAGTTGGATAGGATTACGTGAAGCCCTTTATTCTCCTCCCCAAGAAGATTTTTGACCAGAACCTTGACGGAATCGAATGTGATGAATGTCGTCCCAGCAGCTGCAGAGTAGCTCGTTTTGATAGCTTCCGTCTCCACACCTTCTCCCCTCTCGATCAGAATGACGGAAAGACCTTTGCCTATTATATTTCGTTAGAATGCCGTTGAATATTTTCGGAATATTGGATGAGTTCGGGAAGGGGCGCTCGAATGGTCTTTTTTTCCAGAAATTCAGGTCGAAGGGTCTGACCAACCTGTTTTGGCCCCAGTCACAAAGTAATCGCAAAAGACTCCATTTGTAATAGTTGGTTGTACTAAACTGTATTCACTGAAGATCTAACTACCTAGGATATTCCTCTCCTTATCTACACATCACTCAATAAAGAGAGCGTTCTATCCTCCGTATCCTGTATCTCTCTTTACACTTTTAGTATCAAGAGTTGGTCGAAGTTCGCAAGTAGTTAGCACGTGCTATACGAGCTAGCCCTTTCAACAGTAACCCACTTTCTTGTCCCATTTACAATGTAATGTTTTCCGTCTTGGGTTTTTTCTGCAGTGGTTCTCAATCCTGCGACACTCACTAGGTGACTTCAAAATTAGCATTGCCAAACAGATGATCAAATGCTGAAACAGTTTTTGACGAGTGCATCCCTCCGAAGAAATCCTCGAAGAGAAGAAATCGCCGACAAAACACATCAAATGCCAGGTTCGGGCTCGGAGGAAAACATTTACTCTGAACCCGCAAACGCTTCTGTAATAGCTAGATATACCTCCTTCTTGCCCGAAAACACTTCCTGGGCGGTCTTGTTCTTCCAAGCCTCATTATTGGCAAATTGAAGTACAGCTGTCAGACTTATGGTCATTCCAGCCTTGTTTCCATCTTGGAAAACCCTAGCGTTTGCTTGAACCATCTTTTGAGTAATTATTAAGTCATGAAAATAGTCAAAGTCCTCGCCTTTCACCTAGAAGAAAGTCAGCATTCCCTGTTGATACTATATTGTCCTGGGAGGAATAGAACAATAAATCTAGCCCACTATGCTTACAGCTCCGTCCATAATGTTGACGCCATGCAGATGCTTGCCGGGTCCAATGCGCATAAGTAGGATTCCCTTGGACATTGAGTCAACGAGTTCTTGGGGGGTGCGCTTGCCGGTTTTCTCGCACTCCTGCGCAACTGGATATAATTCCTCGTCTGTAAATATTCTCATGGCCTTTTGCAACCTACGGTGGCTTTCCTTGTAATAGGGGCTTTTGAACTGGGGACTAAAACAAAATTAGCAACGTATTGTTGGGGAAAAGGGAGCGCCGCGGTAGATCACCCTCTCCACCACCGAATACAGGAGTTGGGGTAATAGAACAAAGAAATGGACTCTCCACGTAAGCCATGTTGATTCACCATATGGAACCACACTCAAATCGCCAGGCTGCTGCTCGATATCCTTCGACTACTCGCCCTCGATCTGACCTATGCAGAGGTTTGAGTACCTTTGAGCAACTTCTTGCCGGTGTAAGTTGTAAAATGCCACGGTGGCGTCAGTTCCGGCCACTTAGCACCGAATTAGCACTTAAGATCGAGAAAATGCTTCGGTGCTTGGCTGCAAAGGAGTTCCATCCTGCCGCCGACACAGCATTCGGGGTCTCATGAGAAAAACAACAATTTAGCATAAGAGCAAGCCTTACCCTGCTTGAGAACAGCCTACCAACGAATTAGCAACGGGTTTCTTTAGGGAGGAGAGAGTCGGGAGCGAGCCGGGAGCACGAAACATCCTCCCGATCAGTGAAGTAAGGAGCTCAGGATATGGAACAAAGAAAGGGATTGGCTACCTCGCCTCCAGGGTGCGCATCGATGAAATCAGTAGCATCGTAAATTTTGTTGTCGATGATAAATTAAAGAGAGTCTTCCGTGTTATTCTTGGCTACCTCCTCGCGGGTGAGAGTCTTATGAGGCATTGTGGTGATAGTTTGAAGGATCGTGGTACTGGATTACTGGCTCAGAATTGAAGAGGAAAGAGGAAAGAGGAAAGACGTGAGTTTGAAGTCGCCCGAGACTCCATGAGTCTGGAGCTCGAATCTGAGGGTGGTGACAGTAATCCAGGATCAGATGCCGAGGTCCAGCTCCTCCACCAATCAACAGGTTCATTTATTAAACCAAGCATGGCAACTTGGCAAGGGGCTAGACTCAACGGAGGCGACAGGAAAACTGGGGCCGAAGGCCTGTGAAAACAGCTGGACTTGGCTGGCGTCGCTCTGATGTTTCGATGGATGGACAAAATCATTCCCATAGAAAAAGTTTACCAAGAATTTCTCTCTGGCCGTTTTCCTAATAATCAGGCCAATAAAACGGCCAAAATTACCCAGCAATCTGCATCCTTTAAGCACGCGTCTCCATCAAGACACAGACAAAAACAAACAAACTTGGAAATGTTCGAAGGTTTCTTGGAGACATCACCAGTTCAGCACTCACAGGGCTGGCAGTGAGTGGACTTCGGCGAAAAACACAATGACGCATTGACACGTGACGTCTAGCTTATCGGGTAACCTTCAGGTAGTCCAGGTTTGATAGGGCAAGAACGAACGACAACACCACCATGTGGCAAGCATGAGCTTCCAGGAAAGCCACAACCACATGGCCATTCCTTTCGTGGTGTCAACACCAAAGGTACAGCAAACATCCTTACGCTATAAACGATAATGAGAGCCCGACTTGGAGTCTCGCCCCAGACTGTCCACGCGGCTCCGATCAGGAGCCGCACCTCTTGAGAGTCACCAGGCCCGCTCGTCGCTTTGGAACCATTAGGGGGCTCGTTTGATATACCTCCTCGAGCCTTACTTAAACCACTTCCGATACCATGGCGTCCTATCTACAAGCATATTTCCAGGCCTCCTCCATGCCGAAGCGCCTCCTTCAATACGCACTCTCCAGGCTTGAAATCCTCGATACAAACGCTTTGGATTTGGACAATTTAGATATAGCTTTGGGCAAGAACACCGTGCTTGAGTTTCGAGATGTGGGCCTGCGCCTGAAGGTAGTTCATCACTAACTGAGGTGCTCTCGATCCATTTGCTAACACTCTATGTACTCGTAGAAACTGGAAACGTTCCTTCAGCTACCTCCTTCGCTCGAACTTATCAAAGCTCGTGTCCTCCTCCTGCGTATCTCCGTTCCAGTCGATGTTTACATTAGTCCAATACTGGTCGAGGTTGAAGGCGTCGAGAGTCATCTACGCGTGGAGTCCAAGTCGGAAAAGCCTACTCGTACGAAACATGATCGGAAGCGAAAAGGTCCTCAGTCGAGTGATCCCTCTCCCCATAAAATCCCCGAAAGAGGCTCGAAGGGTGCTCATTTCGAGGATGGATCGGACTCCGCAATACCAACGGCAGCTGACCTAGCACAGTCCTTTCTGCAGACTGAGACAGAGGAGGAGAGAGCTGAATTGGAAGCTGCTATTTTGTCAGAAACCCATGAGATCGGCTCATCTTCGGTTTTGAGTGATGATGGCGAACTGCCAGTCGGTACAGGGACTGCACTGTCCTTACCAACCTTCATGGCCAACTTTCTGCAGGGTATTGTTGACCGCGTGCAAATAAGAATTCGAGGTGTCACTTTCAACCTAGACGTGGATGTTCCGAATGAGAACTCAAGATCGCCTCCTTCCAGTGCAACGGATCCTGTTACTATTCAATTGAAGATAGAGAATGTCGACGTTGAGGGCGTTACCCATGGTCTAAATAAGGATTCACAGACCACTGCCAGCAATAGGTTGCCCCGATCCAAGGAAGGCAAACGCCTTATTTGTCTTTCGAAAATTCGAGGGTCTTTGATATCGGAGGCGGCTGTTTTCTCCTCTTTAGCTCGATCCTCCGCATTGTCCTCACCATCGGCGGCACATTCTGACATATTTGAGGACAGAAAATCGGGTTCTCAATCCCACTCGAGTACTCGAGAGAGCCTTCTGCAAACGGTTGACCGAGGATCATCGCCTGAGCAGACACCTACTGTTTCGTCTAAATTATCAATGAAATCTTTACCCGGGAGAAACATAGATACGAAGTCTCTCAGTAGTTCAATCGCTGCGAGTGATAGTGGTCGTTTTGATGACGCTTCGGAGGACGGCAATGGGTCGAATATGTCAGAGAGTGCCCATCTCAGTGAAGTTGGAGACAGCGTTTTTCGGAACTCTGCGTACTTCGACCAGGTTGGAGAAAGCCAGTATTCAGTGGAGAATGAGAATGAGGACGGAGGATCTGCTGTCCTACCTTCTGCCCCTCGAGGTCTAAACAGCAAGAATTTAGCCTCGGCACTGTCTACCCCACGAGCTTCCGTTCACCTCTCAGACATAGAACCCGAAGTCTTCAGCCCGCGAACTGTCGAAGATGAACCCCCTCCTTCAATGTTGCAGTCAACAATATTGCCAACAAGAGGCCACATCAGGTTCTCAGCAGATCGTGTTTCGCAATCTCAGCCATCCCTTTCCTCTGGGACTTCTAGATCATCTGCAGAGGACGGTTTCCCCCCAATGGGAGATATCTCGACATTGACCGACACTGCTCAAGACAGTGACGAGGAAGAGAACAGCTCCACCCCCGTGGGAGAAGAAGACCTTGCTCAATCTCAACTATTCAGCCATGAAGACGCCGAGAGTATGTACATGAGTGCTTTATCCCATGACTCTTCTTCGTCGAGAATTCCGGGAGGGTGGGGACAGTCAAGCAGTGAGAGATCTGCTCCTGGTAGTCCAATTCCTTCGGAGGCGAAGGCACAGCCTTTGGACAATCTGGAAAATGCTCGCCATGCTGCGCCCGTCCCAGCATCACCAGAAGATGAACATTTTCTTCCTTCCATGTCAGCCTCGAATACACCGAGAAGAATATCAACACTCGCTTCAGATACGTTTACAGAGATTCAACATCCTACATTTGTGCCACAGGGCTCAAGCGGAGTCTCGGAGCGATCAACGGCATCATCGGACGAATACCCCAGACTGAACAAGCAGGTTTTCACTCTTGATCGCATCGACGTCTATCTCCCTCCTGTAGCTACCAACACTGCCTCGGATCCCTCCAACCTTTCCTCTGCCAGCTCTATTTTCAGCTCGACCTTTGACGGGCAAAGTGACGCTGAAAGCTCTACCTCAATTAACATACCTGGTGCATTCTCTACTCATCTTCCCGCTCAGATTAGATCGTCCATTCCGCCTAAGTTCCCGCCGAAGTCACAACCAGTAGAACCTAAGACGCACACCGAGGATTCGAAAAGTACAATCGAGTTGCTCATCGGCCACCTTCTCTTGCACTTTGATATCTCAGTCGGACGGCTAGTTTTCAAGCTGGTGCACCAGCTGAAAGACATCTTGAATCAAGGTTCCCCAGCTACAGTGCCGTTGAAGCCGGAGTCAGGCCCCATTGACAGAACGTATATTCTGTGTGCGGAAGAGATATCTCTCAAATTTCTGGAAAGACTCGAAGGCATTTTGAGCCTTGCCGGCGAGCCTGACGTTGGACGATGGGCTGCGCCACCTGAAACCGAGATTCTTCTCCGGGCAACCCTCACCGGTCTAAACATTAAATCCCAGTCTTTGAAATCAACGACGAAGACGTTGGTGACCCTTAAGAAGTTTGTGTTTGGATACGCGACGGAGAACATTGTCTCTTTTGACCCTGCCTTACAAATGAGGACCTCTGTTCGAGACCTCAAAGCTTCTGCCGGCGTTGATGTGTCTGTGAGCATTACACATACCTCTGAAGTAACTCGTTGTGAGGTCACCACTCTTCCGATGCATGTCTCAATAGACCTACAAAGGCTCGACGAAACATTTAGCTGGTTTGGTGGGCTTAGCAGTGTTTTGAACTTAGGCAGTTCTATTGCTTCGAATGCTACTATCACTGCCAATAGTCCTGGCAAATCCAAACCTCGTGGTGTTCGATTCGAGACTCCCATCAGACCTGATGACAAATCTATGGCCATGCAAAACAAGGCCGATGTCAGGATTGGAGGTTTCATTCTTGATTTGGTGGGCACGGAATGCAGTGTTGGGGTGGAAACTTCAGCAGTCAAGGCTGTCAGTCGGAGTGAAGGTATTGGTATCTCTGTGCAGAAAATTAGACTTTCTGGTCCTCATCTTCGACGATCCAACGAAGATCCCGCCATCAACGTTGAGATTACCTCCACCAGCATCGAATACTCTCCTTCGCCAAAAGATGAAGACTTGGATCGCCTACTGTCTCTGATCACCCCATCGAAAGCTAAATACGACCAAGACGATGACATATTGCTTGACACCCTTCTACACCAGCGGAAACAAGGCGCAGTCCTTAGAATCTCTGTTGGTGATGTCCAAACTCGAATAGGTCGACTACATGAGCTCAGCTATCTTCCAGAATTGGGTGATGAGGTTTCGAGGCTATCTTCTGTTGCAAAGTATCTCCCGGATGACGATAGGCCAGGGCTGCTCTCCCTAATCATGGTCAACAAGTTCAATGCGCAAGTGGATGTCAATAATAGCCTTGGAACCATACAGCTCTCATCGACAGATGTTGAAGTTGCTCAGATTACCCTCCCAGCACTCATAGCGCTTAGTGTGAATACCGCATCTGCTCGTCGCAATTCTTCGGAAGATCTAATCGGAGCTGCCACTGACCCCGGGCTACGTCAACCGGGAGCCAGGGCACCCGCTATCATGGCAAGAATGATTGGCGACGAGATGGAACCGGTGGTGAAGCTCAAATTGTGGAACCTGAAAGTCGAGTACAAAGTACCTACTCTAATAACTTTGCTCGGGTTGGCAGAGAATGCAACTGCACAAGACGTTTCTGCGAGTCTCACAGCATCTGTTGCTACTTTGACAGATTTTGCGAGGACAAAAATACCCCGACCTGTCATGTACGGTCAAGTTCGACCTGGAAACCCAAGCACTGCAGATTCCAAACCGCTCATCATTGACGTCGTGCTCCGTGATTGTCTTCTGGGCTTGAATCCGCTTGGTCAGCCTTCAAAACTTCTTGTTGTATTGACCGAAGCACATCTAACGGCAGCGCTTCCGAAAGACCAGAATGCCAACGCATCATTGGACTTGAGTAAGGCTTCATTGCTCATCATTGACAACGTTGCAAATATAAATCCTATGGATTTAAACTCGAGACCCCAACGGCACTCGTTTGACGGTGGCAGCACTCAGGTGGCGGATCTGGGCCGTATGGGTTATGTTCAAATTGGCTCCTTGTCTTCAGCTAAAGCGATCGTTCTGATGATGACAAACGAAGAAGGGGAGCGTTCCATCGATGTGGAGCTCCGAGACGACCTTTTCGTTCTCGAATCGTGTGCCGACTCGACCCAAACATTAATTGCGATTCTGAATGGTTTGACGCCACCCACCCCTCCCAGCAAGGAGATCAAGTATCGAACCAAGGTTATACCTGTGCAAGATCTCCTAGCGTCACTGTCTGGTGACGCTTTCGGTACCGCTGAGGGAGACTACAACTTTGACGATGATTTCCCAATTGATGGGTCGGGAGCTGAATACCCCGGTGGTGACGATGGCGACGATCTTGAATTCGACTCTCATTATTACCAAAAAGATCCTGGTGAGCAATACAGACAAACTGTTCTGGAGTTTGAGGCTGGGTCATCTGCCTCGACACATTTGACGAGCCGGGATACCCGCGACGGCGTCTTACTAGAAAGCATTATTGATCCGCATGAGGAGCCTACGAGCGAAGCACTTGAATTTCAGGACGATCATTTTGGCACGGGCTCTATCTTGGAAGGCACCGCCCATAGGTGGAATTCGGCAAAGAACACTTACGACCGGTCAAACGTGCAGAAAGTTAAGAAAAGTCCCCTCAAGGTTTGCATTCGTGACGTACATATCATTTGGAATCTTTTCGACGGCTATGATTGGCAACACACCCGCGATGCCATTACAAAGGCAGTCCAAGACGTCGAGTCTAAAGCAATCGAGAAACGAGCACGTAACGAGAGACGACCAACGTTTGACCAAGATATTGAGGACGAGGAAACTGTCATCGGCGATTTCCTCTTTAACTCGATTTACATCGGGATTCCAGCAAACCGGGATCCTCGTGAGCTTGCCGCGGCTATCAACCAGGAGCTGAACGACAATGCGACAGAGACCGAGTCTATTGCGACTACATCATTGTCTTCCTCGCCAAGTAGGCAAGGGGGCCTACACAAGAGTAAGGGCAAGAAACTGCGACTGAACCGAAGCAAGCATCATAAGATAACCTTTGAATTGAGGGGCGTGTCTGTCGATTTGGTGGTCTTTCCACCTAATAGTGGCGAGACTCAAAGCTCTATTGATATTCGTGTACATGATTTTGAGATCTTCGACCACGTGCCGACGTCGACCTGGAGAAAATTTGCTACCTACATGCAAGACGCAGGGGAGAGAGAGACCGGCACCAGCATGATCCATATCGAGATACTCAACGTCAAGCCCGTCCCTGAACTTGCCGCGTCTGAGATTGTTCTCAAGGCGACGGTTCTTCCACTCCGCCTTCATGTCGATCAAGATGCCCTTGATTTCATTACAAGATTCTTTGAATTCAAGGATGATTCTGCTCCCGTTCGTGAATCTCCAGGCGATGTTCCATTCCTTCAGAGAGTGGAGGTCAATTCCGTTCAAGTCAAGCTTGATTTCAAGCCAAAAAGAGTGGACTACGCTGGCTTGCGCTCTGGTCACACAACAGAATTTATGAACTTCTTGATCCTGGATGAAGCAGATATGGTTCTTCGCCACACCATCATCTATGGAATCTCTGGTTTCGATAAGTTGGGGAAGACCTTGAACGACATTTGGATGCCGGACATCAAGCGCAACCAGCTGCCTGGTATCCTTGCAGGTTTAGCACCAGTACGATCTCTGGTCAACGTCGGAGACGGTTTCAGGCACCTTGTGCTAGTTCCCATCCGTGAGTATAAAAGAGATGGGAGAATTGTACGGGGCATTTCGAAGGGTGCTGCTGCATTTGCAAAGACTACTGGGACTGAGCTCGTCAAGCTTGGTGCAAAGGTTGCGATCGGTGTTCAAACAGTTCTCCAAGGCGCAGAAGGCTTTCTTGGTCCCGGTGTCCAGCCCGTGAAGACTCCCTTTGACGAAGACGACTCGGAAGAGGAAACTAAACAGATCAGCCTTTATGCCAACCAACCTGTCGGCGTAATGCAAGGCCTTCGAGGCGGGTATTCAGGTCTTCAACGAGATCTCCTGCTCGCGCGGGATGCGATCATCGCGGTCCCCGGCGAAGTAATGGAAAGCGGGAATGCAGCAGGGGTATTGAGGGCGGTGCGTAAACATGCGCCGACCGTAATCCTTCGGCCTGCCATTGGCGTTGCAAAGGCAGGAGGTCAGATCTTGATGGGTGCAACAAATGCATTGGATCCTGTCCATCTACAGAAAGCGGAGGCTGTAAGCCACCCCCATATTCACGTCGATAGAGAGAGACACTAATGAAAACAGAAATATAAGAAGCATTGATGACGTGATGACATTGAACGCACGAATGGTGGGGGGGGGGGTTGCATCAGAATGGAGCCATCATCAGCATTTTTTCACAGCATAGTTGTGGTGCGAGGTGTTTTCGGGCGGTCATGCATATACCGGTAATTCATTATAGACTACTTTCCCTGGTTCATTTGCCATACACTCGATACCAAATTGAAACGATGGAGACTCATTGAAAGCACTACTCTCATAGTGATAAGAAAAGCGACGCAATCTTCAATCTTCCCAGTCACGTGGTATACATTAGTGTTCTCGCTTCTGATATTCCCCTGAATAATCGCTAAAAAGTGATCTCAATTCTTAGGTCCCAAGTCAAGTTAGCTGGGTATATGAGTAATCTCCTTCCCAACATTCCCCTGGGAATTTCCCTCCCAATATAGTGACTTGCCTCACATCGAGAACTTTTCATTCAAATATCTCTTGAACCGTGGGCAGCAAGAATTCTCTTTCTCTAGTGCGCGTGGGAACAATAGAAGCTGTCCCTTTCAGAAGAAGGTACAGATAACATTTCGTGGCATCTTTTTTGAGATATATAAAAGAGGACTTCAACCCCGCACGAGAACTACCTGGGCATCCTTTCTAAAGATGTCATGGAAGCAAGATCCAGCGAAGTTGATTTACCAAGGTATCACCTGCCATCGATGGATCTGCATACCACCGTCGCATTCTTCAATCACTGACCTCCAAACGTCAACCAACCCCACTCTCGAGATATGTTTGATACCTCTAACAGATCTCTTGGGTTTCCGGCAAGCGCTTTCCAGGCATCGGAAAAGATCCTGGTGCTTAATTACTAGTGTACGCGCGGGTATTTGAAACTACACATCCTGTCACTGGGGAGCTGCAAGGCAGAGGTGATTGGGATCTTTAAGAAACAAGCGGCTTGCTCCACTTCCATCAAGAGTTTTCTCTTAGCATCTTCCCTCGGTCAAGCTTGGACTGAGTGGTCAACAGCACATCTCCTCCATAAACTCGCAAGAAGGTACTTGGATAATCCCTTTCACTCTCCGATGTTGGAAAGATTGGTTGGAAGGACAGCGCAGCAAGCACAACATTGGATGTGAAGCCAGAAGGGATAAAAACGCCTACGAGGACGGAACCGCTTTGGGTTGAAAATAATCAGATAGGGAGAACAGTTCCAATAGTTCTACAAGGATATTTTGATGCATTCATTATCCCTAAGTTCTAACAATAAACATAAATAATAAGGTTCACAATACCTCACCACCCTTCACCCGTCTGAGACGGATGCTCAACGGGTTTAGACAGCCGTCAATTCTCCGCATTATGAACGTCTAGCTCACGTTAACAGTTCTAATAGCCCATAAGCCGCTGACAAAAGCGAGTGATGTTACTCATGGCTCGGCCGTCTCGTCTTCCGAAGACAAGGAATGCTACCAGAATCGTCATGAAAACTTCAATCCTCGATGAGACGTCCAAGCCGCAGCACCTACACAGAACCTCCCCTCAAATAGTATTTTGGAAGAACACTCGGAAGATACATACTGACGGTCTAATAAGCAGTGTCGAGTCTGGCCCGTGCCTTCCAACAACTCCAGCCCCGGTCAAACTTGGCAGCAAAGCAGCAATGGTAGATGCCGGTCCACTTGGAAGTTGCGGTACCACACAGATGAAACATTGGCGTTCCTCAGCTTCAGCCGGTAAACTGTTTGAATGGCTGTAATGCTTGTATGGCTTGGTTCCGAACGGATATGGACAAGAACTGAGTGCAATTGGGGGTGCCCGGGATATTCCCAACGGACCAGGCTACCACAAAGTATTCTGGTTGGCAAGTTCAGCCTTGCTGCACGTACAATGTACAATGCGCCCCCGTACCAACCAACGGTGCCTGTCTGGTGCTCCAAAGTATGCTGCACTACGTTCGGCGCGGCCTGCAGCTACGAACCCTGCATGTTGACTGCAAGGAGTCTGGATTGCGCGGGATTGCTGCGAAGTCCGAGAATCGCCTGCTCTGCATGAGGTCCAGGCGTGCTGGCTCGGCACGTGGACAGAGAACTGCGCATGCTCATGCTGGACCGTGAACCTGGACCGTCTGAGGTCGATCTTGTTGAGACCACAAGCTGCGGCGCGGTGCAGTCAGTGATCAAGCAACTTGCTCGTGCTCGTCTCCTTGACCGCGATGCCCCCAGATCCAATACAGTACCACATCAAGTTTCCAGACTCGTTTCACAAGCCAGGAATGCCCCGTAGGTGTGGGCTTTGAAGTTTCTTCTGATGTTCTTTGGCACTCTAAAGCCGCCAGGGAGGCGACGCTTTGCCGCATCCAGCGAGAGCGAAGACTTGAGACCTGCTCTCGTGTCAAAGGCCAATTCCCGGATTGAGGCAGCATCGTGTTCAGAGATGCCAGGAGAGCGTGCAGGCATGGCGCCGGATGGGGGAGCGGAACGTGAGGTGGCAGTGAGAGGGGCGGATCCTCAGTAGAAGGAAAGGGAGTCGCTGGCTGAAAAATAACGAATAGGTGCAAATATTAATATCAAGAAGAGGGCCCATTTGCTAGGTCATAGGTAATAGGTAATAGGGCAAGCCTCGGATTTGATAGAAGCTGCCGCTGCGCTCCGCTGCCGCTGCCCAAACCCAGCCGAGCGCCGGGAAGGCTTTGAGGCGAAGGCGACCTGCCTGCTGTCTCCCTGTCTCCCTGTCTGCCTGTCTGCCTGTCTCCCTGCCGATAAATAATGAATGACTACACTTCCTTTGCCCCCTCGCCAATGCAGTAATTCGCAGCAACCCAGCAATCTCACAACCTCACCACCTCACCACCTCACAACCCAACAACACACCTTTCAGATCGCCATCACCACCACATACTCGCCACAACCCACACCCACACCCACACCCACACCCACACCCACAGCACACCAGCGCCGGTCGTCCTTCAGGGCAACAACAGCCTCTCGATCTTTTAGACCCTCTCCCTCCCTCTCTGACTCTCTGTTGAAGCCTCGTCAGCGCCTCGCTGTGCTTATCTCGCCCACCCATCACGCCACCTCATCTCCTCGCAAACACTCCCGTCGACCTCAACTCCGTCAAATACACATCACCATGCGTTCGTCATCTCCCGTCTCTCGATCTGCGTCGCCAGAGCCGGCAGACACCATGCAAATATTCGTGAAGAACGTGGCCGGGGAGAGTACGGCCTCTCAACCTCCCACTCTCTGCAACTACCTGCTAACGAAACCCCCAGCAATACCGATGATCGTACCTCAAGATCTGTCTATACGCAACCTCCGAACCCTACTGTCAGTGCGGACCTTGCTCCCCGAAGATGATCTCCGCCTTGTCTACGCCGGCAGGCACCTTCCCCCCTCGAGTACCCTCGCGGAGAACAACATCCACCGGGAGTCAACCCTCCACCTCGCCGTACCACTCCGAGGCGGTATGCCACCTAAGAAGATCCGCTGCACGTACAAGGACTGCAGAGAAGGAGCCCAGAGAATCATTGGTGACTGCGGGTTTTGCAATGGGCATTTCTGTGGCAAGCATCGTTTGCTGGAGGACCACAAGTGCGATGGCTTAGAGGACGTAAGTTATCCCCTAGGTTCCCCAAGACGAGGGCCGCAATGGTGGCTCATTGGCCTCAGTGATGTACTCATGGCTAACACGTTACTTGATGAACAGTGCAAGAAGGAAAGCCATGATCGGAATGCTGCGCAGCTCAACGCTGAACGAACACAGGTGATCAGGGGCATTTAGAGGGTGTCTCAGCGATATGTATATGGGATATGGGGGCGTTGTGGTCGATCGACCGGCATTGTCACTTTGTATTTAACACTCGACAGGCCCTCTTTGATTTTAGCGGGTGTAAGATGGATGATCTTCCATTATGCTCCTGGGTTCATCTGCGCGTAGACTAATACAATCCATTCACAAAGCAATCTTACTTCACCGCGAGCCGGAATAATCTTTCTTGATGCATGCTTTTACCTCAGTTTTTAGTGAAATTGCCACCCAACCAATATTTGGCGTCGAGCTCCTCCTACTTTCTCATGTCAACGACACAGCGAATGCAATCTCCTTGCTTCATTGTCTCAAAAGCCGCATTTATCTCTGGAAGCGTCTTTCGGTGAGTGATGAACTCATCTACCTTGAGCTTGCCCTTCATGTAATCGTCAACCAGGTCTGGGAGTTGGGTGCGGCCCTTAATTCCGCCAAAAGCGCATCCCTAGAAAGCGCCTCGTCAGAAAGTTTTTCGGCAACGAAGAAAAGAGTCCCTACCTTCCAAACGCGGCCAGTAACGAGTTGGAATGCTGCAGCAGTATTAGCAGTTAAGACCAGTTCAGCCATGGACCGACTTACGCCGAGTCGAGATCTCCTGTCCCGCAGCTGCGACACCGATGACGATGCTCTGACCCCATCCTTTGTGGCACGCCTCCAAAGCCGCACGCATCACGCCAACGTTTCCCGTGCAGTCAAAAGTGTAGTCGCATCCCCCATCGGTCATCTCGATCAATTTCTCGACGATGGTCTGGTTCTTCAGGTCGCCTGGGTTCACGAAATCGGTGGCACCGAACTTCTCGGACCATTCCTTCTTATTCGGGTTCAAATCCACGACGATGATTTTGGAAGCCTTCTTCTGCACAGCGCCCTGGACGACCGAAAGACCGACACAGCCTGCGCCAAAGACGGCAACAGTGGAGCCCTCCTCAACATTCGCAGTCACCGTGGCTGCGCCATAGCCCGTTGTGATACCACATCCTAATAGACAGGTTCGGTCCATCGGCGCCTCTTTCGTGATAGCGACCACCGAAATATCCGCAACGACAGTATATTGGGAGAAAGTGGAAGTGCCCATGAAGTGGAGGAGATCCTTGCCCTTGCACTTGAATCTTGATGTGCCATCAGGCATAACACCCTTCCCTTGCGTAGCTCTGATCTTGCCGCAAAGGTTTGTCTTGCCGGACTTGCAGAACTTGCATTCTCTGCATTCTGGAGTACTGCGGAGGTCGTCAGAGATTGGCTTCTAGACCACGAGGGGCAAATGTACTAAAGCGCAACAACGTAGTCTCCGGGCTTGACAGAGGTGACGCCCTCTCCAACAGACTCTACAATCCCGGCTCCCTCGTGGCCGAGAACGATTGGGAAAGCTCCCTCAGGGTCCTTTCCCGACAGAGTGTATGCATCTGCAGAGGCAGTCAGCTCTCGTGATAGCTCTTTGTATCCGATTTAGACACGTACCAGTGTGACAGACACCAGTATAGTAGATCTCGATCCGGACTTCATGGGCCTTTGGCGGGGCAACTTCAATATCCTCAATGGTAAGATCTTTTCCTGCCTCCCACGCAACTGCCGCCTTTACACGATATCAATATCCGTCTCGGGATCCAGGGATGTCGAGTATTACTAACCTTGCAGGTGATGGTCTAAATCGATTCAAACAATCAGCTCATGACGCACTTCTCACATCAACAGCAGCTCGACGTACCTTTCCGACGGTTGAAGCCATTTGGATGTTACCGTTATGGAAGTCTTAGTAGTGGGTTGAAGCTGGAGGATGTCTGATGTCTACTTTTGGCGAGAATGGTGTTAAGAGCCCAGGAGATGCGATTGTGGTTGAGCCTTTTGCTATTATTGACGTATGGTTGCGAAGTGGAAGGAGAAGGAGGGGTAGTTGCGAGGACCAGGCCCCCACCTCGGGTCGGGGGTCGGGGGTATCTCGCCCTTCGGGGAGGGGAGGAATTTGCCGAATTCGGATGACATATTGACATATTGACATACTGACGTCGAACATACTTATTAGCCAGTCACCACGCGGGAATGAGAAGGGCATGGCCCTGAGCATGCGCGGCACTTGGAGGGCAATTCCTGAGATTGAGATAGAAGGTCTGGTACACGGTACGGTCGGTGCATTTCATCCACTCACAGGGACCAGGCGCGAGACGGGACGAGTTTTCTTGGCCAGTACACAATGCTGTCTTGCTGACCGCAACCCCGGAATCTATTCCCCGTTTGGGAGATATTCTTGCCCGCGCACCTACTCCCGTCACTTGAAGTTAACAATGATTTCCGCAATGAAGGCCTCCAAGGAAATTCTCCTTTCGCTCTCGTCATTCATGGACTGCTCATGTGACCGTCTAAGGGCAGCTGCAGCAGGATGATCCAGCTAGCCAGCTTCACCGATCTCGCTCTATGGCCCAAGTCAGTGCAGGGAAAGTTGTGTACAAATTTTTACCCGAAAGTGCTAAGCGTAAGTTTGATTTGAGAGAGGATGATCTAATCTTTGTAGCCATTCCAACCCGGCCTCATGATTTAGTATCCCTAAACATTGCCATTGGCATCCGGGACCAGCCTTTCAAAACGAAAGGCATCAACTCCCAAGTGGTATTATTATATTGGCAGTAGCAAAGTATGCGTACACCTCGGATCCCGAAAATCTAATCCTTCCTGTTGCATTTTTCAAAGTTAGGTTTGTTCTGCTTTCAGTTTCTGTAATGATGAAAGCGGAAAGCACGTGATCATTGTTGGCATATTAGAGTTGGCCACAAAGGAAGCTTTGAGCAAGAGAAGAAACGAGCCTTCGTTGCACACATTCAAAATGAAGTGTCCATGTTAACGCTCAGCGACTCTATACTTATTCAACACCAAAATATAAGCACATTTTCTCTCCTTGCGAGCATGCCCTACGTGGCACCGCTGCCTCCCGTCAGCCGCTCGAAGAATAGGTTCTCCTTGGCACAATTCGAATTGCCTCCCCTCCAAGACCCCAGAGATGCATGGGAGCTAGCTTTTCCGAGTAGTACACCTTATGGCGGTAGTTATTTCTCGACATCTGACACTGAGTCCCGGAATTTGATAGATAAACCTTTTGACGAAGGCGTTGTATTCCCCGAAGGAGGGCGACGAGCGTGGCTCGTAGTCTTTGGGTCATGGTGTGCGCTTTTCTCCTCGTTGGGACTGATGAACACCATGGGGGCATTTCAAGGATATATATCGACACATCAACTAAAACATCTTGATGTTGCAGTGGTGGGATGGATATTTTCCCTTTATGCTTTCCTTACCTTCGGGGTTGGGCTCTTCGTTGGTCCACTTTTCGATAAATATGGGCCAAAATGGCTCGTGCTATCTGGAAGTGTCCTGGTCGTTCTGAGCATGGACCTGATAGGAAACTGCATTGGTCAGTATCCCTTTCCGTGGTCCGATATCTCCCTACCTAACCTGTACTTCTTCTAGAATTCTGGCAATTCATGATATGTTTCTCCTTGCTTGGTGGAGTTGGCTCTGCCCTACTTTTCTCTCCGTCCATTGCCATCATCGGGCACTACTTCAGTCGTCGCAGAGGTTACGCAACTGGCATTGCTGCCACCGGTGGGGCATTCGGCGGCATTCTCTATCCTCTCATCATCCAACTCGTCACGCCTTCCACCAGCTTCCTCTGGTCGACGAAGCTGATAGCCTTGATCTCTCTTATTCTCTGCGGTTTCGCGACCGTCTTTATGCAACCACTCCAGGCACCAGGCCCAACCGCGAGCGCTTGGCCAAACCTGCTCATTCTTCGTCGCCAGGCATTTTCCCTGACAGTATTAGGGGTCTTTCTGGTAGAATTCGCGCTATTTGTACCGCTGACGTATATAACTTCTTACTCCAGGTCAATGGGCTTCTCATCTTCGGTTTCCTCTGCGGTGCTGCCGGTATTGAATGTTGGATCTGTGTTTGGACGTTGTCTTCCTGGGTATTTCGCTGATAGATACGGACGGTATAATATCGCCATCTTAGCTATAATTCTCACGGCCCTCTCCGTGTTTGATATTTGGCTTCCATTCGGACACACCCCGCCTGGTCTCGTGATTTTTGCTTTGCTATTTGGGCTCTCCAGTGGCTCGAGCATTAGTCTCACGCCGGTATGCGTCGGTCAACTCTGTCCGGTGGAACAGTATGGGAGATATTATAGCACTTGCTTCAGTATTGTCTCTATTGGCTGTCTAACCGGGGTACCTCTTGCAGGCATGATTCTGGATGCGGATGGGGGTATTTACAGGGGATTGATTCTGTTTGTTGGTGGCTGTTACGCCGGGGGTTTGGTTGCGTTTACTTGGGCAAGACTAATGGCCACCAATTGGAGACTGAAGAGTAAATACTAGATTGGAAAAGGCGAGGAGGGATTATGAATGTACCAAAGTTGGAGCAGCAGTTGGAGCAGCAGTTGCTGGGGTAGCAAATATAGGATTTTTGCAAACCGTGGCATCACGCAAGGTTTTGTTCAGGAGAACGGGACCTTGTTGAAATCGTGTGCTTTCGCTTGCACTCTATCTCCCCTAGAGCCGACATTAACCCCTGCCACTCAAGCAAGCTATGATGAGGTGGGAGTGAAAATACTGCTATATTCGCCATGTAGTCTCTGTGGAGTGGGTGCCTGCTTGCCGGCTGGGTCAAGTTCTCCCTGAACACATGAAGTGTTGACTTCCTCCTATAAGGCGAGATTGGGACATTCAGACTGCAAAGACTTGGTTTTGGTTCGACCGAAATGAAAGAGGAGAATATGCCTAGAAGTTTATTTTCATAAACGCTACGACCTTTAACCTGGATCTATTACTTGTTCTGTGTGGTCGCTTCTAGATACTGCTCGCCAGGCCTCAAACCCATTATATGTACATCAGGTTACGCCCAGACGAGTTTCTTCAGACTATGTCCCAACTGCTCCAATAATCCTGTGCTCTTCCTCGCTTCAGAAAGAGATATAATATCAGCGCTTTCCACAATGCTCTTTCTTTCCGTGCCAACCTCCACCACTTGGCCATGGAGAATCATTCTCTCGATCTCGGAGCAGATCGCCTTGACTTGTTCGATCTCACTCATTTGTGTCTCATTCCCAGCAGCCACCGCAGACCGCGTGGATAATGCTTTCAATGCCAAAACTCGAGTCACAGGAGCAGCTGGTCTGCCTATCAATTTTTCCAGAGCAGAAGAAGGCTGGGAGACGAGGGACGTTCCGCCAAGCAAACCTGCCTCGTTTCTTGTTTGGATATTTGACAATGATCGAGAGTTAACCCGAGTGATGTCGTCTGCTCCAGCGGAATAGGTCACAGCAATTCCGACATTTCGCTGCTCGTCAGCCTGGGCAGCCGATAGCGTTGAAGTAATGTATGTTCCATATCTGATGGAAGAAATGTGCTGAAGATCTACTCGTTCAAAAGAAGAAACTTTCTCGAGATTCCAATCGAATCTGCAAGAATAGAGTCCTACGTCTGTGAGGAGCAAGACCGACTCCTCAAATGGCGATGACCTGACAGTATCTGGGGTCTGTGGAGTTAAGAGGGTCCAGCCACCGACTAACTCTTCGTGCTCATCTGGCACACAAATTTTTTGACACATTTCGATGGCTTGTTCTCGCAGTTTTGGCATTGATACTGCTGGGTCGCCACTCATAAGGTTGGATTCAAACTCTTCGAAGACGACGGAGGAGACGTTTCCCAAAAGGAAGTCGATCGCTGCTTGACTGAAATAATCATTGACAATGCTATGTATCTATTAGCAATGACACATGGTTGAGATGTCGGTCCCTAGAAAGCTCTCGCACTACCACGTCGGTGAATGTGCGTGGCATCTTTGGATCATCGAAGTACGTACCCACTGTAGAACCTAGAGATAGATATCCCCATGTCTTTCAAAGCCCCTTGAAAGTCTCTCTTCCTGTTCCTAGTGAAGTCACCCTTCATAGCTGCAGTCGAAGCGTACTGCTTTGAGATCGAGTCCCCATTATCAGCCCAAAGTGTATTAAACCACCGTGTAGTCTGATCAGCTTGAAGAGACATGTCAATGCCTTCACTTTTCAACTGTAATTCCAACACCCTTCTCCCACATGCACTTTGGGTGACATTGGTTCGGTCGAGACAGTCCATGCAGTTGGTTCTCAGGACACCGGTCTGTTTCCTCAAGAGCTTCCCATCAACTTGGACTGTATCGCCGAACTCGTCGAGAGTCTTGCCTATTTCTTCAAAGAGAGAGCTGACATTCTCAAATCTCATTCCTCGGCATACCGCATGGAAGTCAAACCACTCGAAACCCACAGGCGAATCTTCGTTACGCTTTGCTTCATTGTACCTGCTCAAGTACATCTCATAAGACTCCCCAACAATAGCTTCATTTCCATGTTTCTCTACCAATGACGCGATCTGGACATTTCCATACAACTCGGAAAGCCTCGTGAAATGTTTGACAAATGCTCGATAATTCATATCCTCCGAATGCTGTAGTTGGGGCACCGGCTTGAATGAATAGGGGGATTGCGAGAAAAAAATTGGCACGCTCCCACGAATCTGCACAAAGGAGTAGATTTTGTTTGACGGAGTCCAAGAGCTATCAGATAGAACTTGTTCTGTCTCGACGGTATTCGCCGTAAATCCCTCTTCGTCTATACCCCGACGCAAATATCTAAGGCCGGCACGTTGGACAGATCGCCTAGAAATAAGGGTCAACAAGAATGATTTCATGGACTTGCTTGCTCCACTAGATCTAAAAGAATCTGAATCGTCAATGGACTCTAAATGACCACGCCCAGCGGACATGTCGACAAGTTCCATTGAAGACTTCACATCCCCGTCTAGACCAATGACTGGCTTAGGAGGATCAGAATCCATTTCAAAAGACTGTTGCCCGACAAAACCTTGCATGAGAGGCAGGACCAGAGAAGTTTGGCCTGCATCGATAAATGGCTCTATAATATTTCGATTCCAGAAGAACGTCGGGTCGACTTGTGTATGGAGTGGTAAATCATTTGTCGGCCTCCGGTTCATCAAGCTTCTCGTGATATCAAAGTCGTATGAGAAGAAGAAACTTTGGCTCGAGCCAAACAGGATTTGCGTGGTTCGAAGCAACTTTGGCAACAGCTTCGCAGCAACATCACTGACTTGCTGGTCCCTTATGCTCGTATCATTATTCTTGTCGGAATCCGAGAATGTTACATCCTGTCCTGGTGTCTCAACTTTTCCGGATTCGTTCCCATCTGGTGTACTAATGCCCGACTCTGATACGGCCATCCCAAGATTCCGCCTTTGGTCAACAGCCCAGCCTTTTCGGGAGAACCATTTCTGTGCAAATCGGCCATATGACCCTTTTCTCTTCATGACGTCTTCAGCAACGCTGCTTGTTCTTTGGTGGCCACTGGAAGCGGAAGAAGTGTCTGCAGGAGGCGGCTGTACGCCTTCATCGTCCACATCTTCACTGATGGCGGCCGAGAACTCTTCATCGTCCCCATCCGTGTCACTCTCACCTAGGCCATGCCCGCCAGCGGCCCTTCGCTGGATCGCAGCTTGGGTATTTATGATCGAGGCTTCGGCTTCTGAATGAGATGCGAGGGGGGTTAATGTTACTTCGGTGACAACGTAGATAGGTTTCCCTTGAATCTGTGCAACCTGCTGTCGTCTGGTTATTGATATGAGAAAAGAGAATTTCGAGACTTTTAGTAGACCTGTGGATACGGCGTCAGCAATTATCTCTATGTCCCAGTCCCGGCACATTGCCCAAAGCGGAGTGTACAGCACAAGACTGCTTCAGGCTTACCGACGACTCCAAAGGCCTCAAAACTCTTCCCAGCCTCATCACTTTCCACTCCATCCGCCAGAACGGGCCCAATGGTGTTATCTTTGTAAGCGATCTTTGCTGCGGGGATGGTTCGCTGCCCTCGAGAACCCAGCGGCTGCAAGACGAGTCCATCGATGGCTGCAAAGACGAGGACCTTCCGCACCAGGCCGGGTGCCATTTCCTTACGGTGGGGAATATATACAAAGGGAACAGAATGCCATTCTTGAGTTAGGATTGAGCGTTGAAGCGTTAAGAAGAGGAGAAGAGGTGAAGAGGTGTTGACCTAGCTTAGAAGACTGTCTCAAAGTTTTCCGGGGTGCGGGTCCGCAACACAAGGCTCGAAGGTCCCCGAACCCGCTGACGTTGTCAATTTTCATCCGAACTCTCTTCTTCCGAGAGACGTACTTTGTCACAACCAGAGCTGTTCAAATGCGTAGTGTATTTTACCCCTTTTCTGTCGGCCAACTTACTCCAACATCTGTCGGCGAAACATCTCAATCCCGCTGTTTTTGGGCGTTTTGGGGTCAATGGGATATTCACAACTTGTAATGGCTTTGTATTATCTATACTTCATGTCTTCGGGTGGAGGAGACTCTCGTTGATTGACGTATATGGTGTGATCATAATCATGGGAGACTCCAGCTCCTAAAGGGTCCTGAACTCTTACATTCTCGATACAAAGCTCCTACAATACCCCCAATCTCTGAATTGGTGGGTCGCTCTCATCATATCCCGTATGTACATGCGTCTGGATCAAAATATCCAAAGCCTCTGAATCGCTCCATGAGCCTGGATGCTAACGTCGCTCGCCCAAGTTACAAAAAGGAATTGTATTACACCAAGTATCCACTTTTGATATCCGTCGTTTATGCTAACTCCTCGCCAGATACGCCGGACCTTTTGTTGACAGAAAGAAAATCATGGGTATCTTTCGAAATTAAAGAAGACTTGAAAATAGAAGAGGTGAGCAACGAGCTCTGCCTCCTTAAGGAATCGAAGTAGGTGTCGGGTTGTAAGCAGGGGCGAGTGTATTCGCCACGAGCTTGGACAATGGCACCTGCTACAAAGAGCAGCATTGTTATATTGATGACTGGCACGGTGGATCGTCTTGCTTCTATTTTTGGTAACCGGAACTATCGAGCTGGAAGGCCTAGACAGGTCAGGGTGGATTGGTTCCGTTGGCCAGTGGAAGGATTTGAGGCTCATTCTTGCTGGATGATGCCACAACCTCTTGTTCAGACGCCGTGGAGCTCTTATTAGTCAGAGAGGAAGTTTCTGTCTCTTCGGGAATGGTGGCGAATTTCTTTAGAACTTGTTTAAGGGCTGGTCGTCGAATTGGCTTGCTATAGGATAATTAAAGGTCTGATTCTGCAGTAGCCAGGGAGTTGGGTTTACCTGAGAAAATGGTCCATCCCTGAGTCATAACATTGTTGAACGTTGCTTTCTTCAGCAAATGCTGTTAAAGCGACAATTGGATTCACATATCCCATTTGTCGGATCAATCTTGTACTTTGAAGACCATCCAAATTGGGCATCTTAGCAAGTTAGTACAAGGCGTGCATTAAGAATTACAAATTATCGACTAACCTGAATGTCCATGAAGATCAAGTCAAAGAACTGATTTTTGGACATGCTCTCCTTGACCATATCATAGGCTTCTTGGCCATCCTTCGCAACAACAACGTCATAGACGTCCTCAAGTTTCAGCATGCTTAACATAATGTTAGCCCAATATTATTGATATAGTTGAACATGGCTTACCGGAGCACGACTTCTTGGTTGACCAGGTTGTCTTCGGCCACCAAGACTCGAAGCTTCGAACCTGGCTCTTTCCCAGCAGAGGCGGTACCAAGTGCAGCAAATTGCTCCTTAGAATCTTTTGTAGAAGATGAGGATGGAGCAGCGGCGAAAAAGGGTTGGCTCAAACCAACCAGTCGCGGCTGGGCATCTTTCTCAAATCCCCCCTTTGGACTGGCATCCCCAGGTATCTTGGGCGTTGATGCACAATTTCCTTCTGCGTTGCCTGACACACTGGCAGGCCTGGAATGTATTTCAGAGCTGCTTGTCGACGGAGCTCGTGAGCGGGTGTATTTCAACGGTATTTTCATCGTGAAAGTCGAGCCTGTCGTAGTACCAACAGCATCATTACTAACAAGAGATATACTTCCGCCCATCAAACTAGCAAGCTGGGAGCAAATGGACTATGAAAAAAACGTCAGCTCTGTTACGCTCAATGGGGTGTTCTTCTTAGTGGTTCGTAAACGGCAAGGACGCTTCAAAGGTGTCCAGTTGGGAAGAAGATCAAAAATAGGAGAACTGACCAGTCCAAGACCAGTCCCACCGTATTTCTTGCTTAGACCAAGGTCTCCTTGGACAAACGGTTCGAATACCCTGTCTCTAAGATGTTCGGGAATGCCCGGTCCTGTATCCTCAACCTCAAATTGGAAAATGTAAACCTTTGCGTTGGCTGGGGGAGGTGTTGGTGATCTCTCACGAACATGAATTCGAGGTGTGGATTTTGGATCTGCAGCATTCAAAAACAACGCGGTCCCTACTGGGTTGGATGCGGAATTGGAAGGCTTCCTTGAGACCTGAGAAGTCGAGCCAGAATCGTTGCGTTGACGGTTCCTGGAAGTGCGTTGTGAAGACTGCTTTGATCCCAAGGAGTTTCTGCTTCCATCCGAGACCGTCTCTGCTTCTCCTAAGCACTTAATTCGAACCTCAACTTTGCCACCTTCGGGCGTAAACTTGAGGCTGTTGCTAACAAGATTTATGATCACCTGGAGAATTCGATGTTGATCACCCCATAGACTGTTCAACAATTAGCCATCGCCCAAGAAATGTATGAAAATTGACATGAGGGCTAGGGAGGTAAGACTGGACAGAGAGCTGGCATGGATATAGGAGAGGTGTTACTGACTGCATATCTTTTAACCTGCCCGCGCCTTGAGGTCCCATTGCAGGCAAGACTTTCTCAGTGAAAGGTACCGAATCGGGCTCAGTATCAGTGTTGAGAAACTGGACGTCAAAGTTGATCTTGCCTTCCTGAACTTGTTTCGTGAATATCGTGAGAATCTGTGTTTTGATATCAATAAGTCGGAATTCCTTTTCCTCCAAGCTCAGTTGTTGCCCGATTTGATTCTTGCTGAAGGTCAATAAGTCGTTTAGGAGATGAAGTAGTAGGTCGCCAGATTTGTATACGACTTGTAGACTCCGTTTGATTCTTGGCAAATCGTCTTCGCCCATACAGACCGCACACATCCCGAGAATGCCGTTCAGCGGGGTTTTCAGCTCATGGGATATGTTTGCAATGAACAAAGTTTTGCTCTCATTTGCTGCTTCTGCAGCTTTCTGTGGGGGGGAATCAGCGATATAATTCTGCGCGCTCCATGGCCTGAAACGGAACGACATGTGGCAACGAGGGGTTTTGGAGGGGCGGAACGAAGTCAAGCTGACCTTGGATATTTCTAGCTCTTGTGTACGTTCAGCCACTTTCTGTTCAAGTCTTTCGTATTGTAACATAAGCTCATCGGACATATCGTTGAAAGTTTTCGTCAATTCCGTCAGTTCGTCAGTGATGAAGTGTTTTCGATCCCGGACTTTGGCTGGGATCTTGAAGACTCTCCTCCTTTCATCCTCTGTGCGCTCAGTTTCAGTTTTTTGTTTCCCAGGGTACGCCAACCTTCGCAATTTCATAAATAGGCCCTTCTTTGATCGTTGAGATGTGCTCGTTGGACTTCTCCTCACTTCTACATCACCGCCGAGTTCGCATCCAGATAGATCTGCCTCGTCAAGCCTTTCAGATCTGATACTACCATTTGGCGTGTAGCCAGGAGGTGCAATTGATTTCTCCGTGGCATCTCTCAACCTTCGTATTGGTCGGACACTGTAATGGGCAATGGGCAGAATAATAAGAATGACGAAGCCAATAGTACCGAAGACACAACTCAAGACAATAGCCCTAAGGTGGTTAATGGGCGCCCATGCTTCAGAGTGGCTTTGCTCCACTATCAGGAGCCAGCTCACGAGAGAACTTTGCGGTCTAGCATATCCGACGGCAACAGTAACATTGTTTTCGTTCGTTGTAGTAAGAATACTACTGGCGTTATTTATGGCACTGTTTTGCTTTCCAAATCCTGCTACGGCAGCTGGATACAGGCCCATGCTAAAGTTCGAACGAATGCTCTTGTTGAGAGCTTGACTACAGAGCAGTCAGGCTTGATACTCGACAGGATGGGCGCAGGGTGTATGTCTGCTTACTTGTAAGCCAAGTGCCTATCGGAGTCTCCGGGAGCGGCAACTGGAGGCAGAATGTAGCGAACGGAGGCATTTCCCAATGCGCCTGCAGCAGGGGCGTAAGTGTCGGTGGCAGGCCGCTGTGTATACTTGAACAGATTTTCGCGCCTGTTAGGTCCAACTAAAATCACAATTCCAGTTTTGGCCAACCCTTCGCGAGACTGGCTTACATCGATGAGCGCAGTGGCTGCGGCAACTACTGTCATGAAGCCAAGGACAAATCCGGGCCTCCCATCATCTACTATTGGCAAAGTCAAGGACACCAGCGCATAGGAGTTGTTGATTTGCAGTGGTCCTGAAAAAGTCAGCCTCAACTGTTCTTAGCTCGATAGTCGCCTCGGAAGTCATTACCAAGCAAGAGGGCCGATGTTGCGTTCAGCGGAAAATCCAGAAATGCAGTTGCGTTTACCGCGTTTACCGTAGGATCAACATGGTCATGTTTATTAGATACACCGTATGTGATGTTCGGGTACAGTTCTGTGGGATAGCCTAAATCACCGGGATCTCCAAGCATTGCATACGTTCCGTTAGGATATTGTTCAGGCAACTGGATCCCCGCGGTATTTGCGGTCGCCCTTAACAGTCCACTTGAATTGCCAGTTGTGTTCCGCGAGTATACTATCGTCTGAACGAGAGACGAAAATCCACCGCTTGCTAAGGCTCCATCAACGTCCCTTATGGCGGCAGTCCAGTTGCTATCCGATAGATTTCCTCGATAGAACTGTTTGAGTGCATCCTGAAGTACTATTCTCGTCACGATAGTTGCACAGGTTGCCTGGATGAGTAAGAGGTCCGATGCAATTTGTGATGCCTAGAAGAATGTCAATCTTGCGATGAGGGGGTTCGAGGAATCCTTGCCCAGGAATTATGGGCGGTAAGAATGCAGTAGATGATATTCTCGCAGAAGCAAAGGGATCTTTCAAACCCGGCCAATAACTAGAATGAAGTCGCTCACCTTCAAACTCGCGGCCAAGGTGAGCTCTGCAGAAGTGACATTGACCACTAAGTTGTGATTATTTATCCATATGGCGATGGCTAGGACCTGGGCAATGGAGGGTCAGCAATTGAATAAAATTCCGGGAGGACTGGCATGACTCGAGAGACTATCATAGGTGGAATGAGAAATGGAGAAGGGCTTTCTCCAGCAACACCTACGGCAAGAGGTGCCAATGCGGTGACCAAAACGACGGCCGCCAACTGTTCTCGAATACCGATTCGCATGTTGACCAGCTTCCCCAGGATGCGAATCCCGATCCACCAATGTTCCACGCCTTGTGCATGTGTACACTTTCTTGAGTACCGCTCTCGACTTGACGGGAGCCAGCAGCGTGTGCTGGCTTGGGAGCGGTCGATTCAGAGGGCCCGTTGCATATCCCTGGCAATTGGCAAGGAGGATTGCTCTCTGCCAGGCGCAATTGTCAGTCTCGCCGGTGTCGAGTCGAGGCTGTCTCTGTCTTTGCTGGGTGACTGACGCGGCTAGGATGCCAGCTGGGAAAAGCGGCTGTCCGGGGGAGTGCTCCGTTCGTTAAGCTGGTCGCTCCATGGTCCGTCGAGGCTGAGGCTGAGGCTGGCAAGGCCCGAGGGGGAGGAGACTTTGGCAAGTGAGGGTAAGGAAGAGCTGAAGAGTTGGTTGCGGGCCAGCAAAAGCGGTTCGCGGTGCAGAGGAGGTAAGGAATCGCATACGGTGGAGATGGGGAATTGGGCGGGTCCTTGGCACGCCGGCTTCCTGTCAGAGCCAGAGGCTGAGGAGAAGCTAGTCTAGCCCAGCGAAAGACCACCACTGACCAATCGACGCCTGGGAACAAGCCTGGGGTTGATACGGTAATTATCTCCGAGGGCAAGGATAAGGACCCACGGCCATAAGGACCCACAGCCATAATGGCCTTAGGCATCCATATGTATATAGGCACTCTCTGACAGACTACAATCCTACCAACCTTTCCACCCAACCTACTTTTCTACGGCCACGTCTAAGCGTCTTCAAGACCACAGGAGCAGAGCAGAGCAGAGCAGAGCAAGTGCACGGGCACATCGTTGGCGACGAACGAGGCAAGGACGGACAGCCAGTCAGCAATAATACTTCAAGGCAAGGAGGCTCGCAGCGATTTGCAGCAGAGTCCTCCAAACAGAAACGCGGAGTCCCGCCGTTCCAGACCGACTCGAAGAGCCGCGCAAAACATCGTTTGGTGTTGCACCAAATTGCCACCACCACTGCCACGGTGGCAACTCTGGTGGACGGAGAAAACTCGCACGAAACACCGGCCCTGTGAGGAGAATCGTTCGCTGTATTGTGGGCAGTTGCATACGAGAACCTCCCGTAGGTTGCACAAGATCCGGGGAATCCGAGGATTGGAAGGATGGCCTTCAGTTGATGGATCATCCAGGATGACACCTTACTTGGCCCCGAAGGTTAGGTAAGGTTCGTTAGCTGGTGTTAGCATCCCGGGGCGAAGTTTATTCCACGGATTGCAGGACCCTTTTCCTGCCTTACGAAAGGAACTACGAGGTAGCTAGAGGAGTGGAAGATAGGGAATGGAAAGTCCCAAGCTCGCTGCTGGACCTTTGGACATGTTTTCAAACTAGCAATAGCTGCACTATATGTATTCAAGACAGAAACCCGGCAGCCATATTTTGATCCATGAGACTAAGAATTCTGGTGATGAGATGTACGGGTTTCTTTGCCTACAATTTGATACTCACTGACGTAAGCAAGCACCGGTAAGTATGAATAGTGTTGACTTGCCTCATGGGCGCGTCACTGATATGGAGTGCTCTTGCAAAGCCAGGAGTGGAGGAAGGCGGGCCACGTGATTCAATTGAAATTGCAAGATGCAGAGAACGGAATTGCGAACAGGTGGGTGAGAGAAGGGACGCTTTGAATGCATTTATTCGCTCGCTCACTTGCTGCCCGGATGAGAAGAGCACAATGCCGTGCCACCTGGTGAGGCATGGACTCACGTGACTAGCACTCGCTGAGGTGTTAGGTCGAGATGGGCCAGCCTTTGTCATTGTACATTGACGGAGGCATCAAATGCAACAATCCAATAAGCATGGTCCATTTCGAAGCAAGCATGATATGGCCTAACAGAATAAATAATGCTTTGGTTATTAGTACGAAAGCGCGCGGTGTTGAAAACCGTCCATCTGCCAGAATGCGAGGAACACCAAAATCGCTACATTTAGAAAATCACACCAAATCTCAATAGAACGCCCGAAACTCCTCAAAAGTGCTTTACATAATAAAAATGAAGCAGATCTAACTTTGGCGAAAGTTTTATAATAATAGAATATAAGGCGGAATTATGAGAATTTCTGTAATGCAGCATTAAAATTGTGCCCGTCCTCGCTTAGCGAGTTAAACGGATTTCAATGCCACACGCTTTTGTATTGGTACTGGAAGCGCTCCAGGTTCCAAGTTTGAGGGCAATATCGCTTCCGTGAGATAGTAATAGCATTAGACAATACTGCGAATGCATTTGAAGATACCCACGAATTAATGGCAAGGTCTAACCTGTACTTTCGCTTTATAATATATTAGAAGCTTGCAGATATCGAACTTGAAGAGTGGAATATAATAGGAGATATTAAGGCCATGATTATATCTTATATAATTCTTGTAAAAACTCGGCAAAAACTCGGTAAAAATATAACAAATATATTCAAAAAATAATTAATAAGAACTGAAACTCGTGTTCTTTGAATTATTATTTAAAAAAAAGAATATGAATTAAATAGCACCTGTAACGGCTGGCATAACGGCATAATCTGCCAAGAACAGGATATCGGAAACAGGTGCAAAACAAAGCTAAGCCGGTGTTACGAGCACAAGATCTAGGGCCTGGAAGGCGTGGTTAGACTGTCTCTATTTCGACGATTCAAAGCTAAAGAGAGAAGAGGATCCCGAAGGAGCCTCGGATCTAAATAATCGCGAGCTATATACGGGCCCACGTACTAGCTTAAGCTCGGGGTCACGTATAATGATCAGGTAACTACAGATGCCTCGCTCAGATGCCAGATGCCTCTCTAGCTCTAGTCTAACCCCTACTAGTACCGTATATCGTAATAACCGTAATATTACCCCCCCCCTCGAAGTAAGCTCGTCCCCGAGCTTCGAAAGTCCCTGTTAAATTTCCAAGTCGCAGGTTACATGTCAAAGGCCAGGGCCTTTTGTATGTAACTTTAAAGGATTTCCGTCCGTATTATGCGGTTCCGGCAGTATATTATTCTTGGCGTAGTCCAACTAATAGGGGAGATTCTGGGGCGGTCCTGGCTATTCGGGATTCTTATTATGGAAGCTCTAAAGAGCTAGGGCGCTATTACTTAATAAGGAAGCGGGATACTATTCCGGATCTGGGTCCTATCCTTTCTATTAGACTCGGTACTTTAGCTTTCCATAAAGTAGTTTTACTACTTATATCTCTTAAACTTCGTACTCCGTTTCCCTGTCTTATAGTTCTAATAGCGGAGGCTCCGGATTTGCTTATCCGGGAAAAGGGTTACCTAGGTCTTTATATAGCTTCTCTATATAGAATACCGGATATATTCTTATTAATTCCGGAAGCTTGAGCCTAAAGAAATATCCTACTTATTCCAGGATTTTATATGGTTCTTCTATTTAGTAAGCTAGCTTGCGGCTCGGATAATTATTCTTCTAGTACTTAGTAGTAATTCATATCTTATCTTCTATTCCGAAGTCTACTAGTTAGTAGTACTTATTAGCTTGAGTAATATAGTATTCTTATACTTATATTATATTCTCCTATACTTTTTGCTATAATTTATAGAGCTATATTATTAGGGCCTTTGCCTCCTATTTATTTAGCTCTTCCTTTAGGATACCTAATTATATTTGGGTTTCCTAATCAAATAATATCTGTGGTTTATAGTTCTTTTCTATAAGAAATAAGGATTAGCCTATAGTCTTATAGACTAGAGCTACCTACTAGTAGTTAATTATTACTACCTATTTGTTCTAATTATCCTAGTAGTAATTTATATAGGGATATAACTATTAGTTAAAGTACTAGTTAATAATCTCTGTCTGGCTATTGGTTTGGGGATAGTTAGTAATTAATAACTTGAGCTTTATACTAATATACTTATAGAACTCGCTTCAGAAATCCGATATAAACTAGGGGCCTTAATTAGATACTATAGTCTCCGGGATACTAACTTGGCAAACTATATAGATAAGGAATAGGGGCACTAACTCTTTAGCTATTACTATATCTCGGATAGAAATTATAATAGGGTACTTGCCTAGGCAATTAATAAAGATTACTACTATATTATACTTATTCCTATTCTCTAGGTACTTCTTGAAATCTACTAATATATATTACTAGAAGTAGTTAGGGACTAGTAATAAATACAAGAGCCCTGGCTTCTTATTCCTGGAGATATGGGATTATTGGCAGATATAGTAGTTATTCCTATACTAATTAATATTTATACCTTGGCCTGGCTAGTAATAGCAGGCCTAAAGAAGCTATTAAAGCTTGACTTGTTCTGGATATCCTATTAAGAGCTATATATATGCCTCCTAAATAAGGGCAGTATATAAGGGTATCTCAGATATTATTATATTATTAGATATAAATAGTTTATTATATTATAAGAGAAGGCTGTTTTATAGTATTCAAGTACTTTTCTTTTCGTTTCTTGCCTTATCCTATAGCTCTTCTAGCTCTAGTAACTCTCGGTTCTTACTTAATAGCTTATTTATTAGCTAGATACTATTATACTGGGTTTCTTCCTGAGCCGGGCTTATAAAGGCCTTAATTAGGGCTAACTAGAGATCCCGTATAATATTATTATTAATCTTTTATTATAGGAGGAGAATTTGGGTTTGGTAAGCTACTATTACCTTATTTTAGGTAGTTATATTCTCGTATTTCCTACTTAGGGTATCCGCTTATTTATTTGACTTGCCTATCCGATATATAAACTTGAAATAGTAATAGGAAAGGTATTTTACCTAGCGAGCTTATTTTACTAAGAGCTTCTTTATAATTATAAAGTACTCGAGGGCTCGGTAGTCTAAGTAAATTATAAAGGATATCTCCTATAGGCCTTCTAGCTTTGCTTACTATTTGGTTAAAAAGAGAATAATAATAAGTATTTCTTTATTATAGATATTATAGTTTAGTTCTACTAATTATATAGTTTTAGAGAAAAATACTACCGGATATTAGAGTCCTATCTAGAGATCTTATTATAAG